TCGTGAAATGTACTTGGGAGCAGCTGAAACTGCTGTTTTGCTGCAGATTGGGAGCAGCTAAAACTACGTTCTGGAGCAGGCTAGGAGCAGCTCAGATCAGTTTTCATTGCACTTCAGCTTGTGTCTTAGACAAGCACGGGAGCAATTTCAATTGAGCTTAGCAGCATGGATGAACATGGGTTGTTAGGGACCTAGGTAGATGGGATAACAGTGTAACAGATGCGAAAACTTGAAACTTTGTGAGCCTTAATGAGAATCAAAAAGCAAGTACCCTATGTTTCTGAAGATAGCGTCCTTGATATTTTCTGAGTGGCTCTCAGCCGCTCAAAATGCACACCAGCACTGCTTATCGCACAACTCACACGCGTGCTCGACATAGCATTATTTGTGCGAACCACGTGACGTGCGTGAGCAACCGACGTGCAGTTGCAAGGAGGAACAGTGCAACGAATTTCGAGTTTATCCTATTGTGCAACTCGATATCGAAGCAGCAGACTACGATTAACGAAGTTATCGTATTTGAAGCGATAAGCAGGAGCAAGGTTAATGTAGGCCGAGTAGATCTACCACTCGCTTAAGAGCTGCTGGCCGGTAAGGTTTCGAATCGGACCGCATTGCAGTTCTATCAAGTCACGATTTATCTCGCGAGAATGCGGTTCTAACTTCTAACGATGAAGTACCAAAAGGAATATTTTGGTCATTTGTTTTCAACTGGCTGACGTCCGGATCCCGGATCCCGGGCCGCAGAGCCTCAGGCACCTCAGCCGACTTGCTTAACCGCTTGTGGTTGAAGAATAACAATCCAGTCGCAGGTGGTGTAGCGCTTAGAATCCGAGTTTTTTCGCGCGCTTCCGACTCGGGATGCACAGGGAGAATAAACATAACAAGGGATTGCAAGGCCGACCAGGCTAAACGCGCTCATTGTAGCCAATCGAGTCAATAAAACCGAAACCAAGACGAAATAAAAAGTTTTTGGCGCACGTTTTGCGATCTGGCGCATAATGGCGCGAGGTATTGGCTGTGGCGTAGTTTCTGCAGCATGGCGCAGAATGGCTCAAAACGGCGCAAATGGCGCAGCCGTTCCACCCCTGCGATGAGGAGGAATGGTGAGCATGAGGCCTCAAACAGCGAGGTATGTGAGAAAGACGATGCGGTTCTAATCTAGACAATGGTGCCTAAACGTTGATGATGACCTTATATAAAGTTTCCAACGACGTGCCTGCTCCCTTGCGCGTCGTTAGGCAGTCCTCGGCACATGTTTCTATTTCTTTTTCGCGTACAAATTTTTCACGTACGGTGCTTTGTAAAAAAAATCTTATCCAGAAAAAAATTACCGAAACAAAAGTGAAATATCGCGCTTTCTAGAAATCGAAAAAGGGCATTTTTAGAAGCAAACAAAGCAACCAAAAAGCATTCATTGTCCCTGAAAGACAAAAATAGACCCTACCGATTTTCCCGTTAGAAGTAGAAAAACCAAAAATGGACGTTTTAACCGGAGCCCGCCCCCCGCTCTCGCCAAGAAAACGGCAAGGGTGACCCACCCGAACAACCGTCACACCCCACTCACTTATTTCCCGAGGCGCCGAGGCTAAACAACCCCCCCCCCCCCCCCCCCCCAAAAAAAAAAAAAAAAAAAAAAATGACCGAAAAAAGCGGGCAGAATGGCAGAATGCCAATCGGAAAACCGTGCCGTTTCCGAGGAGTGATGACCCAATGTCGCTCTCCTTCCTCTCGGCACCACATCCGAGAGACAATTAATGAATGGGGCCCATTTCTTTCGCGGCCGGGCGGGAGGGAAGGCCAACGGAATCGCGCGGAGTTCGAACCCGCTGCGCCGTCACCGACTCTCCTGCGCTCGTCCATCTCTACCCGGTGCCCCCCAAAAGCCTCGACCGGAGGAGAAACGCCGGCGCGAACACGACTCTTGGACAAGCGGCCACCGGGATTTGGGCCGTTAACTCGGCCATTAAAAGCGGGGCCCACCGCTCTCCGACGACGGGCGAGGCCGTAAGGCCGGGGGAGGCATCGGGCAACGCCGGGCAGAAGACGCGATTTCTGGACATTTAGTAGCGCTGGCTGACTCGCATTCGCTTCTGTCGTGTACCGACGGGGGCCGGGAGACACGTCGTCGGCGACCGCTGATTGATCGGGTTTGGGTGCAAGAGGGCAGCGGACGGGCTCCGCCGTTGCGGGCTTATAGGACCCCGTGCGAGAGGCGTGCGCTCAGACGGGACGCCATTAGCCCGCTATCATTAAGTCTCGCCGCTGGATGGACGCAGCCTGAAATGAAGGTTGAGAGCACGGAAAAACCAAAAAAAGAAAAAAAAAGTTGGTGTTGTTGCAGCGAGGAACACAAGCACAAGTGCGTTCTTCGAGACGTGCTGTTTGCACGGAGTGAAGACGATGGCGGGACATCTGACGAGCGTGAGCGATGGCTTCTTTGGGGCCTATTCGCACAGCTGCGTTTTAAAGCATTTGTGTCATACGTGCTTTCGCACGGAACGTAGCAACTAATTCGAGCAGATGCCTGTCGCGCAGAATACAAAGCACGGATGCCCTGGCTACTACTCGGAGTCACAACGCAGTCAAACGCACTCGCACGCTCTGAAACGCAACTGCGTGCATAAACCCTCAGTTGGGCGAGTCATTCTGGAGGAGGTGGCCGCAAGCAGGGTTGGGCAGAAATACTCAAAATGTATTTAGAAATACAAATACTGCGATACATTGCAATAGTAACTAAAATACTGATGCTGAAATAATAATGTAAAAGTGTATCGCGAGACTATCGGAAATGCATTTTAAATAGAGGAAAAAAGTATTTGGAAATACAAATACAGGAATACATTTTATGGAGGGCAGAAATACAAATTTAGAAATCCTGATACTGCAATACAGTTTTCAAATTTGCTTGAGACGCCAAATGATATGAAGCTTGAAGTTGGAAGTGGAAGATTTTGATCCTGAAATTACTTTCCCGTAGGCTTTGCACTTTGCCTTAAAGGTAGTGATTTCGGACGATAAAGAGTCATCAATGGGCTCAAAAAGAAAAAAAAAAAGTTCCATGAAGGACTGATCGCGGTCTCTTCTCAGACATCCTGTCTGTCTGACGAGGGATGCGAAAAGACTTCGACCTCTACATAAATTCTATGTCATCCTAAATCCCATCAAAACGTCACCACGCCCCTGTCCAATAAGGACGCCCCTGTCAACATTTCTCACATGACGTGACGGTGGAATGAACTGGTATTCTTTATTTGTAGCTGTGGCGTTAAACATGAAACTTTACCACGCTGCTGTATGAAAGGGCAATACGTACTTTCGTTGTAGGTTACGTGGTTAAAAATCGTGCAGGCAGTGTCATTTGGAATTTTCGAGAATAGTGGACCACCTGAAGCATCCAGGAACACATGTCTTATCTTCTGTTACGGTTTAAAAAAAAAACGGTGAGGTCCCTGTTGTGAAGGTCCTTCCTGCCGACTCCCCGCCACCGACGCATGGATTGCAGTCCTCAAGATTGTCCTTGCATACTCCAAAAAGAAACCTCGTGGATTGCGAACTGATATTGCCGGCAGAGGTGCAAGCTAGGGTGCCTTCATGCGCGCTTTGCTTAGGGTGGTGGCATCTCGCCATTTTGTCACACACGTTTATTTTTATTTTTTGTTGAGAAGCGCGTGAAAGAGCGTGTCCCTGCATGCGCTTGTGGCGCTGACTGTGCTATGGCGACATTTTGTTTTCGTCGATTTCTTTGTATTTTGCCCTTGAGCGCGTGCTGTCGGCATCGGGTACTACAAAGGGTGGCATCACCCTAAACAGAAGGACATTGAGGCACCCTAGTGCAAGCTCTCCGAGAAACAGTGCGTTCGAGACGAGTCGCAGGTGTACGAATTCTCGGTCGGCACAGCCAGGCCACGTCTGACCTCCTTCCTGGGTTTAGTATCACCAGAGCAGCGGGTCACTTTCACGTCGGCTGATGACGTACTCTTGAGCCGCGCAACATTACAGGCGCAGCCGCAGACGCATTCCAATATGTGTTCAACTTCACTGCGTGAGTCATCCTTCTATTTCCAGTCAACCACCGCCAGGCTCGTGCTGCAACGGGCTGTGACTCAGCTTTGCCGACTTGGTGTACTGTGCACGCTAAGGCAAGAGATACGGTTAGCAGTGGGCATTGGATGCTAGCAAACAAGGAGTCAAGGAACCCCTTCCTAAGGACCTGCGGCACAAGATGCTCTCAGTCCACTCCAGGCACGCCACCTGGTTCGAGTCCCCGACTACGCAACAATTCTCAGAAGAGAGAAGAGGACGGATAGAAAAATAGTTTGGAGCATCGGAAGGAACCTTGGTCAGCATGGTAACAATGCCCCGGCATTTCATTGACCCTAGTTTTCTCAGAAGTAAAAAAAAAAGGGGGAGTTGGGGAGGGGGAGTATTTCTTAAGAAATGTAACAAAATACATTTCACTCTGGTTGTATCGCGATACAAAGGAACATTCAAATAGTATTTTAATACAGGAATACAGATACTGGGGAAAAAATGTATCGCGATACAGTAATACAGATGCGAAATGTATTTCTGAAATACTATCGCGATACATTTGTATCGCGATACTGCCCAACCCTGAGCGAAAGCACTTCTCGTGCGGAGATCGCATGCTGGGCTCCGGTTTTGCAAACACTGAAACTGTGTAATCAAAGAGCGGCATCCTCCTAAACAGAAGAACATTGGTGCGCCCGTTCCGGCCCCGAGTGCGGGAGATGGACGCTGCTCGATTTTCTGCGTCGTCTGCCCTAACAGTTTTAGCGCGTGGAGCTGAAACCAAGCGCGTGCAATATAATCTGAAGGGTGGGGATTTAGCCACATCTAACACTATGATTTCATTGTTAACTTCAGCTTAGGTTCAAAGTCCGGCCGCTCTGTGATGATCAGCGCACCGCGGGTTCAGTGAACCGGCTGAATTGGCAGTACATCCGGTCAGCCGGATGGAGTAGAAGGCGACCCACCTGGCTCCCTTCCTGAACTTGGCGGTGTTCGGAATGAGGCCGAGGTTCTTGAGTTGGCGCACGACCATGCGCCGCGTCTTGGAGGCGTCCATCATGTGCTCCAGGATCAGGTCCACCGTGTCCTTATCTGCACAACACACGAGGGCAAACACGATCAATGGGCCTGTGGTGTACACTCCCGTGCGGCAGGCAATCCATCATTCGAATTTATAAACGCAGAATGGGTTTGTAAGCCCATTCTGCGTCTACGCTACGCTTCAGCTACGAGAAAACCATCACGAAGGACTGCAATATCACGTGACACTTTGACGTCGCGTGAGCCTCGAGTCATGCGCATGTGCTTCGGCATCTCGTGAGCTTCGAGCATGTACGCGCAGCCGGGCACGACGGAAGGCAACCAGCGCCCGCAATAAAGCCTGCTGAAGATAGCGCGAGTATAGACCTTTCCGGAAAAAGGTGGCGCCCCCACCGTCTGCTTGACGTATTGTGACGTTCCGATGTACGGCACGTGAGGTTATCCAGGAACCCAAGACGAAGTTGGCGTCCGTTACACAATTTGTGATTTCATAACACCGATTAGAAAGAAGGTAAGTAAAACAGGGTATGTAATAAGTAATAACCTCCTTTCGTGACGAAAATAATACCTGGAGTAAGGGAACAAGGGGGACAAAGGACAAACACGAATCTCCAAACGCAGCTAGGCGACTGGCGCGCGACCGTAAAATTACGCCTGGCCCTAGTATCGAACCAGGAACCTCTTCATTTCCAGAGGAGCGCTCTATCAACTGAGCTAACCAGGAGTTAGACGTCAGTAGAGCAAACGGGTTTCATCAGCCGCCATCAGTCTAACATCAACATTGGTGAACGGCTTGCACTTGAAGGTTATTATGACTATAAGGCAATTACATGCAAAGGTGCAAGCGAGCTGGGCAAGAATTATGAAAATAATCTCTGGAGAAGGTGAACAAGGGGAATTAAGGACAAACACAAATTGTGTTTGTCCTTTGTCCCCCTTCTCTATGGATTATTTTCGTCATTCTTGTCCAGCTCGCTTGCACCTTTGCACTTCATTGCATTATAATCACTCCTTTCCTGTTCGTCTTTTTTTTTTATTTAGCGTTCTGAGTTTTAATTAATAAGAGTTAATGAATCGTGCCACCTCCAGAATATATGAAGCGTTCGAGTCAGCACGAGCCTACATCTTAACAGCCCAATTCTCCTCGCTGCAAGGTCTCCCGAGATTTTCCGAAAAAAATCGACTCTTAGAAAATGTAAAAAAAAAAAAGAGTTCCGCGATTACATTACGGTACATCTGGCCACGCTGTTTTGTTTCTTCTGGTGTGGACAAGCAAGTGCAATGTAAACCTGCCAAAGCTCCTCACGCGCCTTCAAGCCCCAGATAGGAGGCAATGTTACTTGCTATTGAGTGTTTTCGCGACTCCAACAAGCCGGACGGCACCTAGCGGGAAAACACTGAACCGGCCGGAACAGGCGCTTTCGTGATTGAAATGAAACAATCCGCTCCACCGTCGTGGCTCCCGTGATTGCCTGATGTGGGAGACTGGACCGATAGCCGCCGTACTAAAGCGGGAGAAAATTGCGTCGATTGCGTCCAAAGCAACGAAAACGGCAGCAATGACAGGGCCAACGAAAAAACAATGGCCCGTAATGGACTAAGGAATTAGTACGAATTGCGTTGCGTCTCACGTTCCGTAGCGAAAACAGTGGTCACGGTGACTCCGTCCTTACTGTCGTATCCGCGTGTTGCACGGATCGCACGGAACGCAACCCATGCAACCGCTTCAACCGGACATTACGCGTTTGTCAAGGCTCATGCAGCGCGGTAAAAGAACAAGTTTTTTCATCGCTTTCCCTAAGATCAAGCCTCTGGAAGCTCTCTTACGCCAACAGGTTACCGCAAGGTTTGGAACGCAGTAGATAAGTATCGGGGCGAACTATTTTGGGTTCATTGCTTGCGTGCGAATTAGTCGGGCGCTGTGAGTTGAGCTGGCACGTGGCACGAACCGCCTAGCAGTTTTCGATCGCCATATTTGCCAGAGGGTGGCAACCCACATAGGTCGCTAGAGTCGCGAATTGAGACAAAACAACTCGGTAAAAATAGTCAAGCTCCATCTCATAAACATCTGCCGCGCTAAGAAATGCAAGGGCCAGGCTCGTAGCTCAGCCACGCGCATTTTGTTTCTATACGAAAACTCGCGTATAAGAGGCATTTTCTAAACTGCTCGCGCCCGTGCCTGTGAGCAGTGCACATGTTTGCGAGATAGTGATTATAAAGTCGAAAAAAATATTAAAAATGCACAACGCATGCGTACGTTTTAGAAGTTCTTGCACGCACAAGTAGTGCAAATCAATCAGAACATCGCGCGAAAAGTTTTATATCTATTTTTTGCTGAAAATTCGTAAATTGCGAATCTTTCTCTCTCTCTCTCTCTCTCTCTCTCTCTCTATATATATATATATATATATATGTATATATATATATATATATATATATATATATATATATATATTCACGTGTGTTCGTGTGGCGTGTGTTCTGGAAACACACGCCACGCGGCGGCGTGTGTTTCCAGAACACCTCCGATTGGATACATTTCGCTTCTTGTGCATTAATAAGACAGGTAGGAAACGCCAGAAAGCCAACGTGGAGTGGTGTAGTGGTTAGCACACCCGACCGGACACTGGGAGGCCCAGAGTTCAAATCCTGGCTCCGCCGTTTTTTGGCTTTCGGCGGGTTCCTGAAAACTTTGATTCTTTGATTCATTGGATTAAGTACGGTTCATTCATCTGCACACACATATATCTATATATATATATATATATATATATATATATATATATATATATATATATATAAGCGGTAAATAACGTATGTAAAAAAAGAAAGAAAGAAGCCTCATCACGCAGGAAGAACACTCGATCAGGTGGCAGTGTTCACCGCGTTGGTGCCGCAACCTATCAAAGAGGCTTCGTCAACCAATGCAAAATTCGTTGAATCCTATTTTCTCGGATTCAAGAGTGATACATCATTGCATGCCAGCACTTTTCCGACTTCGGGCAATAACATTAACAAGAAAATTGGCAGCGGCCTTCATCTCTCAAAGTCCTATAATGCGAAATTATTTACAAGACATTAAACCGTCGTTTCAGGGAGTGAAAGAGAACCCTCATCTTCATCGACTTTCCTGATACGTTGAGCTGGGAAACTGGGTGCGTCGGTCGCGTGGCGTCAATTTCCCCGCTATTTTTGACGGGAAAACTGAATTGGTTTATAGGTCACCTGACGTAGGGCATAGTAGCTTCAACTTTACCTCCGAGCTTGGCGAAACACTTCATTGGCGTACAGACCACGTGACCTAAACATTCATTTAGTTCCGCTAGTTTTAGCGGGCAAAGGGACGGACCGACGGACGGGCAGACGGGCAACAATGAGGGATTGGAGGCAACCGTTAAAAAGCATATAAGGCTTTATAAAAAGAAGAAGAAGAAAAAAAAAAAGGGGGAGGGAACACACGAACCAACGTGGGGAGCGGGCTTCTGGTGAAAGCTTGTTTTTGCAAATATGTGCGGGTTTCAGGCCACCCGCTTGAGTGAGTAGCGCTTTGAAAACTACGCTAACCTTGACAACGGCGCACAGAAAGGTTGAAAGGTAGAGAAAGAACCGTCCGTAGCCGAACACGTCACTGACCAAGAAGTTTGCTCGTCTCTGTGGTAGATTGCCAGACGGGTGGCAGAGAGCGGCCACGTTCAACGCAAAACTGCAAATAATGAAGCTACAAACAAAAACAAAAATACAGTCGTGTTTAGACAGAGTAAGCCCGGTCTGCCATAGAGGTATGGCGACACTGGAATGACCCTTTAGATGACAAATATAGCCTGTGCAGAACGACTGCCAGCCTGGGGGTCTCAAACGTGCATCATGCACTATAGTTAGTGATGTACGACCGCACGCTGGTACGATGCTCATCCAGATCGAAACAGGCAGGGACGAGAAATTCTGAATTCCTGGGTTCTGCAGCGCGAGCTCTTGCTCGGCGTGCTCCGAGCTGCCGTGTGCAAGCACACACACCATCACCGACCCTACCCGACCCAAACACCCCCCCCCCCCCCCCCCCCCCCTGAGATTGCATTTCGGTAATTAAAGCAAAAAATTACAGACAAGAAGTTGAGAAGCCCCCTGAACGATCCTGAGGACCCTGTCAAAGACCCCAATCCATTATGCAGCGCCAATGAAGTAATTCAACCTTTCGGAACACGTTTCACTTAGCATGGAGGCCAACGCAGAAAAGTCTCGTTATCAAACCGGTAAAGCCCCAATCGATCGATTGTAACCTTAAATTAAAAGCAAAATCGACGAAGCCCGGGCCTGAAGGACACAAGCAACAAGCGGATGTCGCCGTAGTTTCTTTTTTTCACCGCTCCTCCTTTTTTAGGGGTATCATAGAACCAAAGTGTTTCTTAAAAAGAAAAAGAAGTGACAGGAAAAGTTGATTTCAAATTTAGCTAACTGTTTTCCTTCTTATCTTCCTCTCTTTCGTGGATTTATTCCGCACACCGCATACACAAGTTGTCGTTGAAACTGTGCAGCCAGGCCAAAGTGTTGCTCACGCGAAGTTTCGGGAGAGTCATCGGATCTGCATGAGCGAACATCGTCGGACAGGGACAACTGCGACCAAAAATGCCGCGAAAAAAAAAAAAAAAATAGACACGCGCCAGATCGCTCGTTCTACACCTCGTTTCGCCTAACTAAGAACCACGGCGGACGATCGATCAGAGCCAATAAAATGCTACGTAAGGGTCACGTGGTGACATCAGGAAGGGCGCCGCGACGCGAGGGCTGGGTGGTCACGTCACACGCTCACGGGGCTGGATAGGCTGGGATGACTCCAAGCGCCCGACCTGGTCCATCGTACGGAGAAACGAGGTATACGGGCATCAGAAATAGATAAACAAAGGATAATCATAATAAAAAAAAATTATCACAAAAAAGTTAAAAATTAAAAAAAAAAAAACATTGACGGATGCGACAAAAAAATTGATGCGGAAATTGAAAAATCAAACGGAAACAATCCATTTTTCGTTCGCCGAATTCAGTGTGTTTGCATA